AAACATCTGTGTGCAGATTTCTGTGTGAACATAAGTTTTCAACTCTTTTGTGTAAATACCAAGGAGCGTGATTGCTCTATCATATGGTAAAAGTATGTTTAGCTTTGTAGAAACTGACAATTCATCTTTCAAAGCGGCTGTACCATTTTACACTTCCACCGACAATGAAGGAGAGTTCCTGTTACTTCATATCCACCCCCAGTGTTTGGTGCTGTTTGTATTCTGGATTTTGGCCATTCTAATAGACATCTAGTGTCTCATGGTTGTTTTAGTTTCCATCTCCCTGATGACGGGTGATGTAGAGTATCTCTTCCTACGCTTATTTGACACCTGTATATCTTTTTTGATGGGATGTCTCTTAAGGTACTTGGCCCATTTTTTAATTGAGTTGTCTGTGTTCTTACTGAGAACTTTGAGAGTTCTTCATATATTTTGGACAACTATCTCTTATCGGATGTGTGTTTTACAAATCTTTTCTCCCAGTTTGTGGTATGTCTTCTTATTGTTTTGACATTGTCTTTCACAAAACAGAAGTTTTAACAAATTCTTAATGAATTCCAGCTCATCTGTTATTTATTTCAGTAATCATGCTTTCGGTGTTATACCTGACAAGTCATCACCATACCCAAGGTCATCTGGATTTTTTCCTATGTTGTCTTTTTGGAGTTTTACAGTTTTGCATTTTTAATTTAGATTTACGAGATATTTTGAATTAATTTTTGTGGAATGTATAATGTCTGTGTCTAACTTCATTTTTTGTTTTTGCATTTGGTTGCCTGGTTATTCCAGCATGAATTTTGAAAAGAGTGTCTTTGCTCTATTGTATTGCTTTTGCTCCTTTGTAAAAGATCGGTTGACTATATTTATGTGGGACTATTCTGGGCTCTCTATTCTGTTTATTAATCTACTTGTTTATTCTTTTGCCATTACCACACTGTCTTGATTAGTACAGCTTTAAGTCTTGAAGATTACTACAGCTAATAAGTCTTGAAGTCAGGTAGTGTCTGTCCTCCAACTTTGTTCTTCTTCAGTATTGTTCTTCTTCAGTATTGTGTTGGCTAGTTTCATCTTTCCCTTTCCATATCAACTTTAGAATCATTTTTCAGTGTCCACAAGATAGCATGCTGGGATTTTGATTGGGATTGCAGTGGATCTACAGATCAGGTTGGGAAAAATTTATATCATGACAATATTGAGTCTTCCTATCCATGAATATGGAATATCTATTTAGTTTTTCTTTGATTTTGTTCATCAGAGTTTTGTAGCTTTCCTCATATAAATCTTACGTATACTTACTTAGATTTATGCCCAAGTACTTCCTTTTATTGGGTGCTAATGTAAATGGTATTGTGTTTTAAATTTCAAATTTCACTTGCCCATTGCTGGTATATAGGAAAGTGACAGACTTGTACAACAATCTTATATCCTGCAACCTTACCATAATCACCTATTAGTTCCAGAAACTTTTGTGTTGATTTATTTTGATTTTTCTATATAGATAATCATGTCATCTACAAAGGCAGTTCTAGTTCTTCCTTCCCAATCAGTCTATTTCCTTTTCTTGCCTTATTGAATTAGCTTGGACTTCCAGTATGATATTGAAAAGTAGTAGTGAGATGAAACATCCTTGCGTTGTTCCCGACTTTAGTGGGAAAGCTTCTAGTTTCTCACCATTAAGTAGGATGCTTGCTGCAATTTTTTTTTTTGTAGATTTCTTTATGAAGCAGAGAAAGTTCTCCTCAATTCCTAGTTTGCTGAGAGTTTTTATATGAATGAGTGTTGAATTTTGTGAAATTATTTTTCTTCATCTCATCTATTAATATAATCATGGAGTTTTTCTTTTTTAGCTTGTTCATATGATGGTTATATTAATTCATTTTCAAACTTTGAACCAGCCTTCTATACCTAGGATAAATCTCACCTGGTAATGATGTATAATTCTTTTTATATATGGTTGGATTTGATTTGCTAGTACTTTGTTGAATATTTTTGCATCTGTGTTTATGAGATATATTGGTCTGTGGTTTTCTTTTCTGGTAATGTTTTTGTCTGGTTTTGGTAGTGCTGGACTCATAGGATGAGATAGAAAGTATTTTTTTTTTTTCTGCTTCTGTCCTCCAAAAGAGATTGTAGAGAACTGGTATAATTCATTCTTTAAATGTTTGGTTGAACTCAGCAGTGAACTCTTCTGTGCCTGGAAGGTTATTAACCTTCTTCTGTTTTGGAAGATTATTAACTATTGATTCAATTCTTTAATAGATGTAGGCCTATTCAGAATGTCTATTTCTTATTTTATGAGTTTTGGCAAATTGTGTCTTTCACAGAATTGGTCCATTTGACTTAGGTTATCAAATTTCTGGGTGAATAATAGAGTTCATAGTTTCCTTTCTTATCCTTTCAATATCCATAGGATCTGTAGTGATGTTTCTTCTTTAATTTCTGATATTAGTAATTTGTGCTCTCTCCCTTTTTTTCTTAGTCTGGCTATAGACTTATTGATTTAATTGATCTTTTCAAAGAAGCAGCTTTTGATTTCATTATTTGTTAATTTTCTGTTTTTAATTTCATTGTTTTAATTTCATCCAATTCTTACTATTCTTTTTTTTTATACTGACTTTGGTCTTCTTTTCCTAGTCTGTTAAGGTGGAAACTTAGATTATTGATTTTAGATTTTTCTTCTTTCCTAGAATATGCACTTGATGATAAGTCTCCCTCTAACCACTGCTTTGGCTGTATCTTACAGATGTTAATAAGCGATGTTTTAATATTCATTAGGTAAAAATATTTTAAAATTTTTTTGACATTTCTTCTTTGATCCCTGTATTATTTAGAAGTGTGTTGTTTAATCTCCACGTTTTGGAAGTTTCTAGTTGTCTTTCTGTTATTGATTTCTAGTTTAATTCCATTGTGGTCTGAGAGCAGATGTTGTATGATTTCTACTCCTTAATTTGTTAAGGTGGGTTTTATGGCCCAGAATAAGGTCAAATTCATTCTGTTTTATGGCCCAATAATATTCCATTGTGTGTGTGTGTGTGTGTGTGTGTGTGTGTGTGTATATACATACACCACTTTTTGTTTATCTACTCATGCGTTGGTGGATATTTGGATTGTTTTCATTGTTTTGCTAATTCCATCGTACACTCAGTATGTAATTCAGTGGTATTTTGTATGATCACAGTATTGTGCAGCCATCACCTCTATGTAACTCCAAAATGTTTTCACCAACTCAAAGGCGATCTTGAATCCATTAAGCAGCCAATCCTTATCTCCCCTCTCTCAACCCCTGGCAACCACTAATCTGCTTTCTATCTCCATGAATTTGGCTATTTTGGATATTTCATTTAAATTGAATCATACAATATGTGATCTTTTGTATCTGGCTTCTTTTACTTTTCATAATGTTTTCGATGTTCATCCATGGTGATACTCAACTGTACACATTGTATACCAATATTTGTATCATTTTGAGGAACTGCCGAGCTGTTTCCCAAAGTGGCTGAACCATTTTACATCACCAGCAACATATGAGAGTTCCAGTTTCTGCACACGTTCTCACCAGTGCTTGTTACCTTACCTTTCCCTTCCTCCCCTTTCCCTTTTCCTTTCCTTTCCTTCTCTCTCTCTCTTTCTTTTTATTTCCTTCTCTCTCTCTCTCTCTCTCATACACTCTCTCTTTTTCTTTTAAATTGTAGCCATTCTAGTGGCTATGAAAGAGTATCTCACTGTGGTTTTGATTTGGATTTTTCAAATGACTAATGATATTGAGCATCTTTTCATGTGTTTCTTGGCCATTTGTATATCTGTTTTGGGAAAATGTCTGTTCAAGTATTTTGACCATGTTTAAATTGGGTTATTTTGTCTTTCTCTTGCTGAATTGCAAGAGTTCTTTATATATCCTGGATTCTAGACTCTTGTCAGATATATGATTTACAAACATTTTTTCCCATTGTTCGTTGTCATTTCATTTTCCTTCTTTCTTTTCTTTTCTTTCTTTCTTTTTTTGACAGGGTCTCACTCTGTCACCCAGGCTGGAGTACAATGGTGCAATCTTGGCTCACTGCCACCTCCACCTCCCAGGCTCAAGCAATCCTCTCAGCTCAGCCTCCCCAGTAGCTGGGACTACAGGTGCGTATCACCATGCCCTGCTAATTTTTGTATTTCTTGTAGAGATGAAGTTTCACTATGTTGCCCAGTCTGGTCTCAAGCTTCTGAGCTCAAGTGATCCTCCTGCCTCAGCCTCTGAAAGTGCTGGGATTACAGGCATGAGCTAGTGTGCTCAGCCTCATTTCACTTTCTTGATTGAGGCTTTTATTGAGACAGGGTCTCACTTGGTCACCCAGGCTGTAGTACGGTGGTATGATCATAGCTCACTGTAACCTTGAACTCTTGGGCTCAAGCAATCCTCCCAAGTCAGCCTCTCCAGCAACTAGTACAACAGGTGTGTGCCACCATGTCTGGCTAATTTTTAAACTTTTTTTAAGAGGTGGGGTCTCGTTGTGCTGCCCAGGCTGGATCTTGAGAGTGTTATTGATGAACTATCTACTTTTATTTTGATGAAATCCAAGTTACCCATCGATGTATACACTGAGCTGATCCTGAGACATGGCAAAATGTCTGAAGATGGTACTTGAGTGAGTGAAACTTGGGCAATGTTGTTTCTAGTGAATTCTTTCTCCTTGGTGGTTTCCTCTGGCCTGGGGATGTACTTCATCCAGCAAAAAATGTCAGGGCTGAAGAGATATGGCCTCTGGTCTCCCACCCAGAGGGTAAACTTGGCAAGAGCCCAGCCAGGCTCTGCCTCCTCCGCTGTTCCTAAGCATGTATTCATGGACAAGGAGTCTCTGGAGCAAAGGAGAGTGACTCTCTCCTTCTCTCCCAGCCCTACCACCACTTACCTGCTAGCCAGCCACTCCCTCCTCTTTCTGTAACTGGGCATTGGTCCAGCTGCCAGGCCCAGCACCTCTCCCATTTAGCCAGATGTAGTTCCAGAAACAACTGCAGGAGTTTTCGGACACATTTTCCAGCCCGGACTACTGCTGTTCCTGTCCATAGCCAAGATCCAGGTCTGTTTCCTCTGGGTGGGGATGCAGCTCCTTACCTCCTAGAAGGCTATGGAAGTGTGTGTGCTTGTGTCTTTTTCCTCCTTTCTCTTTTGGAACATAAACATCTTTCCAGGTCCTTCTGGCCAGAGGATGATGGTATGAGCCTGCGGTCTCCCGTCAGTGCCCAGTGGCCTCAGGTGCTGCCTCTTACTCGTAACCTAGATGCTCCCACATGTGTTTATTTCCTAGAGCTGCTGTGACACAGAGCCACAAACTGGGAGGCTCAGAACAACAGACATTGCTCCTTTCACAGTTCTGGAGGCTGGACGTCCAAAATCAAGGTGTTGGCTGCGCTGGTTCTTATGGGAGGATCTGAGGAGAATCTGTTCCAGGCTCTCTCCTGGCTCCTGGTGGCTTCTGGCAATCCCTGGAGCCCCTCAACTTGTAGATGCATCCCCCCAGCCTCTGTCTTCATCTTCACATGGCATTCTCCCTGTCTCTGTCTCTGTGTCTCTTCTCCTCATCTAATTGCCATATTGGATTAAGAGCCTACCCTGCATCAGTATAGCCTCGTCTTGGCTAATTTCATCCGCAGTGACCCTAGTTCTAAATAAGCTCACATTCTCAGGTTCCAAGAAGGATATGAATTTTGAGTGGGACAGTGCCCAGCCCAGTGCACCAGGTAATGCCAAGGGCATCACTAGGTAGGAGGCTGGAGATGACTCCATTTCTATGAGTTCCTCCTTGGCTCCTCTGTGTCTTTGCTTCTAACAGCCTGTACCTGCCAGCCTCTCTGGAGGCCTCCCCTTGAGCTATTAGAGGGGCTTTGTGTGCACAAAATTCAGACACACACACACACACACACACACACACACAGAGCTGGGCATTCTTGTCCCCTGGAGCTATCTTACCATGGTGATGACTGACAGTGGACTGGATGCGGTGGCTCACACCTGTAATCCCAGCACTTTGGGAGGTCGAGGTGGGTGGATCACCACAGGTCAGGAGTTCGAGTCCAATCAGCCTGACCAACATGGTGAAACCCCATCTCTACTAAAAATAGAAAGAAAATGAGCTGGGCATGATGGCGCATGCCCGTAACCCCAGCTACTTGGGAAGCAGAAGCAAGAGAATCACTTCAACCCGAGTCAATTAAATGATACTATGACGGAGAATAAAGTGAGGGAGTCCTGAGGCTGGACTGTGAAGGCGTTCTGCTGTCCCTGCCATGTAAACTGCTCTAGTGCCTCTCTGCTGTTGGATATCAGGAAGAAAGGATTTGGTAAATTGGTGGCTGCACACCAAATTCCAGAGACAGTGCTGATCTGCTGAAGTCAAGATGCCACATCTGGCACAGTGGGTGACACTGGGCTGTGCTTGGCTGTGTTTATGGTAGTCTGCGGTCAGCTCCCCTGAGAGGCCTTTCCTGACCAACTTATCTAACGATGCCTTCCAGCTCCGGGTCTTCTTCCAACCCATCATCCTCTTTTATTTTTTTGTGTCACTGATCTCTGTCTGCAGTCATGTGACCTATTTATTCATTTATGGCCTTTCTCCCCAACTAGGATACAGACTCCAGGGGAATAAGGACATTGTGTGACTTGTCTGCAGCTGCATCCCAAGCACCCACCACTGTAGTGGGTGCCTAACCAATGTGTGTTGAATGAACAAAAGAGCAGACCAGTGTTCTTTCACTTGAAGTACATGGAGGGGAAGAAAGAGGATTTTCTGGGGAGATTCTAAGGCAGAGGTCATTTCTGGGGGTTGCTGGCTGGGAGGAGGCAGGTCAAGGTAGGCTGTCTTCCGGGTGGTGCAAACCCCTGGCCTTTGCCAGCCTCTCACTGGCCGGTCTGCTTGTTGGGTCTGGCACAGGCCTCAGGGAAACATAACATTTTAAATAAAACCTCAGAGTCAATAAAGGCGAATGGTCTCGGGTGCCTCTCCTGCCGGCCCCAGCTGTTGACTTTAGAAGTCAAGAGGTTGGGGTGTTGCCCAATTCTCGTGGAGTACAGGGAGATATAAGCTGGAAGGGCCTGGCCCATTTTATACAAAAACAAAACGAAACAAAACCCACCAGGCCCTGGAAAGATTCCACCACCAGCCAGAATCAAAGGTCCATTCAGAGCCTCAAAACTCCTCACATTCGCTGTTAATGAAAACCAAATTTCTCATCCCTCTGAGCACTTCCAGGGGCTGCAACTGGGAGTCTTTGGCCACCCCTCCACCACCGAAGGGGCCCCACTGTGTTCAAATAGTTTTATGATAATACGGCCTCGTCTTTTTCTAATTTCAGGCATCAGTGATTTAGGACGGAGTTGTTTTCATGGAGAAAGAAATAGAAGCTGTTTGTGGCAGGGCACGACTGCTGCCGGGCAGATATTCCCACCATGTGGGTATCCGGGTAGAGGGGTGAGCCTGCCATGAAGAGGCTTGGACCCAGCTCCGGGGAGGCCTGGTTTGTAAAGCACCCCGCTCAGGCGGGCAAGGGTGGGCTGGTGGTTTCCAGACGGATTCAGACACAGTGACAGTGACTGCTGTGTTTTGATTTCATGCTTCGTGAAATCTTAGAATCACAACTCAGAAAGGTAGAGGCATCCCTCTCAGATGCAGAGAAAGGCCCTCCGTTTTTTAAAAAAGACGTTTTCTCATTTCTTTTTTGTTTTTTCTCCCCTTTGATCAATCTTTATAAGCAAGTATTGTGTAGAAATCTCACTTTTTTTCCCCTTAAAGTCAACTTGATTATTACTTTAAGCCTTCGGTACATTTAGTTGGTGGGAAACTTAAACTCAACCTTTCAGTGACTGCTCTGCCTTCGTCAGGACTGGGGTGGAATTCCGTCCTTGTTTCTCGGGGTTTTTTGTTTTGTTTTGTTTGTTTTCAGACAGACTCTCACTCTGTTGCCCAGGCTGGAGTGCTGTGGCATGATCTCAGCTCACTGCAAACTCTGCCTCCTGGATTCAAGTGATTCTCCTGCCTCAGCCTCTGGAGTAGCTGGGATTACAGCATGTGCCGCCATGCCGGCTAGTTTTTGCATTTTTAGTAGAGATGGGGTTTCACTATGTTGGCCAGGCTGGTCTCAGACTCCTGACCTCAGGTGATCCTCCTGCCTCAGCCTCCCAGAGTGCTGGGATTCCAGGCGTGAGCTACCGCACCAACCTCAGTTTTTTTCATCTGTAAGATGGGGATAATGATAATGCATACTTTAATGAGCTGGGTTTAAAAATGGCAAAATATTTAGAATACTGTCTGGCATAGAGTAAGTATTAACTATTATTATTATTCCAGAGATAAAGAGAAGGCATCAAACCCAATATGAGGATATCAAAGAAGACTGCCTGGAAGAGGTGCTGTTTCAGCTAATGACAGATGTAGTCCTTGCACAATCTTGAACTCCTCTGCTTGGATATTTATCAATCTAGAAGTTTAATATACTATACCCTGAACAAGTGTGCTCATTTTAGAAAACTGTAAAGAAGAAAACAGAAAACAGCTGTAATCCCATCTTTCCATTGATTTCATTCTAGATTACTTTTATCTCTATTTTTAACTGCATTAATTGATAACCTGTATATACAGTGTGAGTCTGGCTAGAAAAATGTTTATTTCTGACCGGGCAAGGTGGCTCAGGCCTGTAATCCCAGCACTTTGTGAGGCCAAGGCAGGCAGATCATGAAGTCAGGAGATCAAGACCATCCTGGCTAACACAGTGAAATCCCGTCTCTACTAAAAATACAAAAAAAATAGCCAGGCGTGGTGGCCTGCACCTGTAGTCCCAGCTACTCAGGAGGTTGAGGCAGGAGAATTGCTTGAACACAGGAGGCAGAGGTTGCAGTGAGCCAGTATCACAGCACTGCACTCACTCACCCTGTGTGACAGAGCGAGATTCCATCTTAAAAATAAAGAGAAAAGAAAAATGTTTCTAAAATGTATTTATATATTTATAGAAAATAAAGATCTGAATGGGGAGCAAAGCCTAAAAAAATATTAACGGTGGTTATCTTTGTAGGCAGGCGATTATGGGTTATTTTTCTTGTGTGCTTTTTGGTAATCTGGACTGTCTACTTTCCCTCTCATGATTATGTATTAGTTTGTGTCACTTTAAAATGCCATTTACTCTGGGGGCCGTGGCTCATCCCTGTAATCCCAACACTTTGGGAGGCCAAGGTGGAAGGTTTGGTTGAGACCAGGAGTTCCAGACCAGCCTGGGCAACATGACGAGGCCCTGCCTCTAAAAAAGAAAATCAGCCAGTTGTGGTGGTGCACACCTGTAGTTCTAGCTTCTTGAGAGGCCGAGGCAGGAGGATCACTTGAGCCCAGGAGTTGGAGGCTACACTGCACTCCAGTCTGGGTGACACAGTGAGACTCTGTTTAAAAATAAAAACTAGAGGCCGGGCGCGGTGGCTCAAGCCTGTAATCCCAGCACTTTGGGAGGCCGAGGCCGGTGGATCATGAGGTCAAGAGATCAAGACCATCCTGGTCCACATGGTGAAACCCCGTCTCTACTAAAAATACAAAAAAATTAGCTGGGCGTGGTGGTGCGTGCCTGTAATCCCAGCTACTCAGGAGGCTGAGGCAGGAGAATTGCCTGAACCCAGGAGGCGGAGGTTGCGGTGAGCCGAGATCGCGCCATTGCACTCCAGCCTGGGTAACAAGAGCGAAACTCCGTCTCGAAAAAATAAAATAAAATAAAAACTAGAAATATTATTTAAAATGTAGTACATAGAACTCAGGAACCACGGATGCAGTCTCATAATCTTTATATTTTTAGACCATGAAGGAGAGTGGGGTAGCTTGGCCGGACTCCGAGCGCCCCAGACCCACAAGTCTGAGAGGCTGCATGTGACCTCCGGTGTGGTCAAATAGTCCTTTAAGGAAACGGAGGCAGGACATAAGGCTTCACTAAACACTGTGAAGTGGTCAGGAGGGACAGGGCAAGGGCCAACTGGGTGATAACAAACACTATTGTTAAGACCATGTCCCCAGTGGCACACTAAATGCCACTAAGAGACATTTGACGTGGAGTTTGGGGCATGGCGGCCTTCCTGTGACTTTGGCGCCAGTGATGTCTAAGATGCCTCTTAGCTCCTCCGTCATTCTGCCCGGGCTTCACCCTCCTTTGCCCGGACTATTTTAGTCGCCTGTGAGCAGGTCTCTGCACCCTTATCCCCAGTCTGCACCATCATGGTGCTCCCCTCCGACACACACGTCTCCGCTTGGCACCCCCGTGCCACCGACCCCTGGCACAGCTCCTCCCCCACCACTGCTCCACTTTCCCCACCATCCTCCGAGCTCACAGTCTGCCCAGCCTTTGCACGTGGGATTCCCTCCTGATGCTTCTCTGCCGGGTCCATTCCTACTTCTCTTTCCATCTGCTCTCGGGAGAGGGGCGCCTTCTCCGGGGAGCCTTCCTTGTTTGCCCTGATCCACACTGGGTTGGCACAACCTGTTTTCCTGTCTGCCCTGTGAGATCCCTGAGGGCATGGTGTGACCTGTTCACCTTGTTCTTGGTGTCTGGCACCTGAGGGTGGGGTGGGGCTTTGTGTTTGGTGAATGAGTGAATGAATTCTGCCCAAGGCCTCCAAGACACCCAGCCCAAAGAGCTGAGTGGGATGGTGAAGCCCAAATGGTGTTCTTGGACACCAGAGAGCCCACATTGCTTCCATCCGTCAGGGTGGGCACAAAGGAGGGTGGTCCAGGCCGCCTCAGGGCTGCTGCATCCCCTTCTTATGATAGGTCCTCCAGGCCAGGGCAGGCCCTTTCTGTGGGTGAATATAAATGTGTAAAACAAACAGTGCGCTCTTAGCTGCAAAACTAAAACTAGGAAGCGTGGGACCCCGCTCCCCAGGATCCCCCAGCAGCTGGACCACACAGGTGTGGCTGCGGATATCGGGGCGATGTGGCCCCTCGCCCCTCCCAGCTCCAGAGCCCTCATGGAGAGGAATGAGGGGCATTCTGGATTTCCGCCAGGAACGGTTCATTCTTCACTCTGGCCTCCCTCCTGCCCCGGTCCCACTTGACAGCTCATTTCATTTACGACCCCATAATGAACCGACCCACTGAGGTGTATTCTCTACTCACGTGGCCAAGCTGGGGTGTTTAGTGCGGCTGAGAGTTGCCCTCTGGGCCACGCTGGGTTGGGGACAGGTTTACGGGGGTACCATCTGGGAGGAATTGGGGCTGAGGAGGGAGGCAGGGCTGGGTGTCCATCAAGCCCTGCCCTCCCAGTCACATAGTACTGGCTCCACCCCCCCATCTCCTCCAGCCCTCACCACTCCACCACATGGGTATGTACCATCTCCAGCTGGCAGCCCCCGCCAGGACACCCCTTTCTTAGCATGAAAGCCAAAGCCATCCCCATGGCCATGTCCCAGCAGTGGCCTGCTCCCAGGGGCCAGCAAGATGGGTCTGTCTGGGGCCACTTCACCCCGCAGGAGGCCACGTCTGGGAGCCCCCCTGGTCGCATCCAGCTCTTTGGGTTAATCACTGGGTCAGCCTCAAGCGGAGGGGGCTGGAGAAACGGGAGGGACTCAAAGTCCAGCCTAAATGGACGGACGGGACCCCCTAGAGCCTCCAACATGGAATTCTGGAGTCCAGGGGCTCTCAGACTGTGGAAACAATGGCTTTCTCAGCCTGGACTGGCTGCTGCATGTCCTAAGCTCCTGCTGGTGGCTCAGGGGACACAGGTGAGCCTGGGCCCAGGGTCCAGGAGGACAGGGTTGCAGGACTGTGAAAGTCAACCCTTCCTTCAGGCCAGGTACACCCCTGTCCCAAAGCAGAGGATCACGGACGTGACGTCCTACTCCACACCCAGGACACAGCCGGTGCTCATTCAGCGCACGACTTAAGAGAGGCTCAGAGAGGGAGAGGGACCGCTCAGTGCCACACAGCTCTGGAAGGAAAAACCTTCCCCCATCAAGACCTTTCCCAGACCCTTTTGGGAATGAATCGCCTCAGGTTGGGAAGTTCTTCTTAATACCTAACCTGAATTCTTTCTGTAACTGAGGCAGCCCGTCCTCACCCATGTCCGAAGGGGGCGATGTCCACTCTCTCCATCTGCTGCCCAGCAATGCTCACCCCTGCCGCCACCTGCAGGCCACTGTGGCTACTGCAGCGCTTCCTCCCTGGGACTGCAGGCAGGCTGGAGATGCCTCTGGACCTTGAGTTTCCGGTTGGAATTTGGGTGTGCTGATTTGTGTCTGCTGGGGTGCAGGTGATAGAGATTTGAGTCAGGGACTCCAGAGGTCAGCTCGTCTCCCATCTGCTGTGGCACCAAAGTATGTCTGGTGAGGAGGGGCTATCATTCCCTACAAAGTGACCCCAAATAAACATAAATAGAAATGGAGGGGGGCTTTCAAGCCAGGTCCCCACACCATCACACCCATGCTACCAATATTGGAGTGTGGTCCCAGTTCAGCCATGGACAGCCCCAGGGAGACATGGACCCTGATGACACTCCCGCTTTGCACCTCAGTTGTCTCAGCTGCAAAATGGAAGCACTAAAGTGGCTGCTCTCTCCCAATCCCCACTGTTGCTAGCTTGCCACAGATCCTGAAACATGAGGCTCAGAGGAGAGCTCTCACCCAGGCAGCTGGACTCTTCCTCTGCCTCTGCTTCCCCCCAGAAATCTGAGTCTGGGGAACAGGTAGGAATTCTTCCCAACATAGCTGGGAAGAATCACCGCCCGCTCATGATTGGTGGAAGGTTTGGTAGCACTTTGAAGACCTATTTGATGCTCTCCTGGGGTTCTGGCCATACAGCAGGAGGCCTCACCGATGGGCTGTTCTGCGGCCAGGGTGGTCTCTGTGGCCATTCCTGAAGAAGCTGGAAGCAAGGAGATAAAGGCGCTGGGTGTCACTGTTCCTGCCCCAGGTCCTGCTCAGTTCCTCCTGGGAACAGAAAGAGGTCTCCATTCTCTCCCACCCCCCGCCCCGCCTCCATGCATAGCCCTAGAAGCCCGGCACTGGGCTCCTTCAACACATCTCAGACTTACATTATTGTAACAAATCAGTCCAAATTCCATTTTACAGTTAAATAGTACAGAAGACAGTTTACTGTACAAGCAAGTTGTGCATCAAAAACAAACACCAAGCAAATGATAGTGCAAAGCAGTTTCCACCCTGCTCCATCCTCTCGCCAGCTCTGGGATGGTTTTGCATCGGATATGAGTGCAGCAAGTGTCACATGTCAGCATGACAATATGTCATAAAGAGATTGGTACCCACTACTGACAGGCTCACAGTTACATTGTATCAAAACATCTTCCTGCTTCCTTTATCAGTGTTTGCCTAGTACAACTTTAAAGCAGCCTTGTAAATAAGGACACACTTTTACGTCTGGGCTGTCTGTACCCACTTTGGACCTTACAGACTCAGTATGGCTGCCATCACTTTTTGTCAGGGGATGGGGGATGGGGTGGGAAGAGCAATTTATTTCCCATCCCTTCTCCTCCAAGGCTTGAGGATCAGGAAAGGGGTAGTAATCTGTGATGAGCTACAAAGTGCTGGGCACTGGGAACCAAAGGTTGCCTCCTACACTGACCCGGGACCAGCTACAGCCAGAGATCAGGAGGGAAGAAAGTACAAGGACAATGGACTTGTAGCTGCTGCTTAAGTATCGGTGGAGAGGCATCCTGGGTGCAGGGAGTCAGCAGTTGTTTTGAAGAGATGGAGACTGTTTTTCCAGTGGGGTCAGGCCAAGAGAAACTGCAGTAGGAGGGACTGCAATAGGATCACCAGAAGGACTGCCTAGCCTGCCAGTGTGTCTCTGGTGTATGGTTCTGGCTGTTGTGACAGGTTGGGTGGGGGCAGTGCTCTCACAGAGGCAACATTGACGACCCTTTTGTAGGGCAGATTTCTGCATCCACAGAGGACGAGGCAGAAAGTTACAAAAACCACGTGCTGCTAGCCTTTATGAGTTTCCTGTCCTTTAACATGTTTTCTAAGCCTTTCTAGGGCCAGAGAACTCTGAGAATCCACGTGCCTGGCCCTAGGGCAAGGGCCTACGTTTCCATTTTGCGAAACTCAGGGACAAGACTTCACCTCAGAATGCAGTGGGGCCGAGATGCAGCTGGCACGCCCTTACAGTGCTTCTCTTCTGCCACGCAAAGCCAGTGCTCCCCAGCACCCCCATCCCACCCACCCCAACCAGAACACCCACACAGCCTCCCAAACAGATGTCCCAGAGCCACAGAGGACAGCGAGCCCACCATCTCACCAGCGTTTCCCTTGTCCTCCCAGGGGGCACCTGTGGTGCAGGCTGCTGGGATGTCACCTGGTGGGGAGTGTAGCCCCTTGAGGAAGTACTGAGACCCTAATAACCCCACACTCTCAGGAGGCAGCTGGGGGGTTGGTGAGGGGGAGGGGCTGGGGATGCTGCTCATCATCACGGAGCTACACTTGTGAGAGACCTTGTTTGAAAATGTCAGATTAAGCTGCTTTTTCTAAAATCAGTTTTAACAACTTTTGTTGTTGTTCAGGACTGTTTGCTTTCAGAGCACAAAATAGGCTAAAGACCGACAGGTACGTGTCAGGAGTTGCAAGATTTGGCCAGGTCCTCCAGGGAGGCTTGAGGGATGGGGCACAGCTTGGCTGGACCTAGGTGGGACAGGGATGCTGGTATCTGACCCCAAATGATCCCTCACCTCAATGCCTCTGCTAGGACCTATCTGACCCCCCTATTCTCCCCACAAATGGAAATTATGAGACTGCCCCCACCCTGCCCCCGACCAAGAGAACAGAGGGTGGATGCCTTGGGCTGGTAAAGTGCATGGAGGAGCCAGTCTGCAGGGCCCTTCCTGGGTTTAGGGAGCTGATGCCATAGACTCATCTCCTCTGGTGCCTGGGACCCATGTGTCTGGGGGAAAGCCAACTGTTAGGAACGGAGGGGAAGCCGGGCTGGGGGCACTGGCTTGGATGTATTCTCATCCCATCTCTGCCAGCAATGTGCAGGGTCCTGCCCCATCTGTACAATGAAGGGAACCCCTCTCAAGGGTGGCAGGGGTGGGGGACACTTTCCAGTTCTGACTCCATCTGTGTAAATACAGAGGGAGCTGGACCCACGGGATGCAGGGGTGAGGAGGTTTCCTGGGGCCTGAGGCTTATCCTGTGGGCCAGTGCTGTCTCTCTCTGGAAGAGACGGCCTCTGTCCCGGGAGACATGGGTCCCATGCAGCACTGGGCATAGCTGGAGACAGTGAGGACCTTCTGGGGAGGTGGCAGGAGGCTGATGAGACCGCCGGGATCTGGGCTGGGGGCAGTGACCCGGGTGGGGCTGTTCCCCACACCTCTGTACAAGGATGTGCTAGACAGGTGCAGTCAGACACCCACCAGCTGGAACCACCCTGGGACCGAGACCACACTAGAGTACAAGTCCCATTCCTGCCCAGAGCCTCGGAGCTGGCCCGTCACTGGTCTCGAAGGTTGCCAGTGGGTCCCCACCTCCCGCGGGAGGAGTCCACTGGGGCGGTCAGTAGGGCCGCCACACGGCCTCATCCATGCGGCCCGGCGTGCTCAGGGCCGTGGGCGAGTTGCTGTGGCTGCCGTCGGCCTCCACGCTGTCACTCTGGCCACCCAGGCTGGGGTTCATGAGGTTGCCGGTGGCGACAGAGGCAGCGCTGCTGGTGCAGGAGGCCAGCATGCGGGTGGGCGAGCGGTCGCCCCCGCTGCTGCTGCCGGCCACCATGGAGAACTGGTAGGAGCCGGAGGACGTGCCGTAGTAGAGGTGGTAGGGGGACGGGTTGGCCTGGAAGGGCCCGCTCTGGTTTTGTGGGGCCCCCGGGTAGGGTGGCGGGAGGTAGGTGTGGTGGAAGCGGCTGGTGGCCGGCATGCCTGCCACGCTGAGGCTGCTGATGCTCGTGCCTGAGGGCGTGGCGCTGTAGGGAAAGGCAGCCGACATGGCCCCGGGGTAGTGCATCCTGGGGTCCGGGAAGCGGCTCTCCGTGAGGGCTGGCAGCGTCGGGAAGGAGCGGTCAAACTGGCGGGGGTCCGAGAATGGGTTCAGTTCCGAGGTGCCTGGAGGACAGCAAGGAAGAGGTCAGTGGCAGCCCGAGACGCCCCCAGGAGGCCTTCCTGAAGAATGACCTTGGGCTCTGGCCCATCTAGGGGACTCAAGGCCCATCTAGGGGACTCCTGGTTCTAGACCTCACTCCTGCCCTAGGCTGCCCAGGGCCTCGCCTGCCAGAACTCGGAACACAGATCCGCTGGAGAGCAGGTGGGAGCTGCCCTGGGCCAAGAGGGGCCGTGGGAGCCTCCCCGCTGGCAGCAGCAGAAGACAGGGAGGACCTTTTCTTTTCTTTCAATCCTCCTTCCCGGGCTGGACGTGTGTGTGCGCGCACACCTGCACACGAGCCTCTCCTGCCCGGGTGCAGCGCTCTGAGCGCTCACATCTGGGTTGTGGGCCCTGAGTTCCCAGCAGCTCATGCTTGTAATCCCAGCGCTTTGAGAGGCCCAGGCAGGTGATCACGAGGTCGGGAGTTTGAGACCAGCCTGGCCAACATGGTGAAACCCCGTCTCTACTAAAAAGAAAAAAAATTAGCCAGGCGCTGTGGTGGACGCCTGTAATCCCAGCCTCTCGGGAAACTGAGGCAGGAGAATCACTTGAATCTGGGAGGCAGAGGTTGCAGTGAGCTGAGATTGCGCCACTGCACTCCAGCTGGGGCAACAAAGCAAGATTCCATCTCAAAAAAAAAAAAAAAAAAAAAAAAAAATCCTCCTTCCCAGCCTAGCAGAGGAGCGGCCTAGGATGTGGGGGTGGGGCAGCGCTGAGGGCGGGGTCAGGTCTCCCAGCAGCCCTGCCCGGCCCACGAGGTGCCTCTTCCCACCGGCCTGTGGTAACAGCTGACAAAGCCATGGATGTGAAAAGGGCTCTGATGTGAGGCTGGGAGCTGGAACCCGCTTTCGAATAAAAGAAAATGGAGGCAGAGAAAGGACTGCTACTCATCACACGGCCTCTCTGCTGGGGACACCCGTGTGTGTGTGTATCCACACACCTGCATAGAGAAAGGACTGCTACTCATCATACGGCCTCTCTGCTGGAGACGCGTGTGTGTGTGCGTGTGTCAATGTGTATGTGTGAGTGTATGTGCGAGTGTGTGTGCGTGTCAATGTGTGAGTGAATGTGCAAGTGTGTGTGGGTGTATGTGCGAGTGTGCATGTCAGTGTGTGAATGTGCAAGTGTGTGAGCGTATGTGCAAGTGTGTGTGCGTGTGTCAATGTGTGTGTGAATGTGCAAGTGTGTGCGCGTGTGCGAGTGTGTGTGCGTGTGTGAGTGCATGTGTGTGTGAGCGCACGAGTGTGTGTGCACGCACACCTGCACACGAGCCTCTCCTGCCCGGGTGCAGCGCTCACATCTGGGTTGTGGGCCCTGAGTTCATAGCAGCTCTGCCCTCCATCCTCCACCTCACCCTGGGCCTGTGTCTCTGGAGCTGACTCATGGCTGCACAGTGACCAGATGCCACCTGCCTTGGCAGCAGAGACAGCAGTCAGACAAACTTGGGGACTGAGACCCTGACCTGGTCACAGTGTCCAGCCCAGACGCTGCCCCTGCCCCCCTAGGAGTGTGGCTTCTCAATGGGCTTCAAGGCAAGGGTGTTCCAGTACCTGCCCCTGACTGTCATCACAGACCTCCAAAACCTCAGCATTCAAAGGGCTCGGGGACTGAGTCTAACACCCTTGGTGGGGAATCTGAGGCCCAGATAGGGTGAGGCACTTGCGTAAGGGTCACACAGCACACTGGACCCGGCAAACAATCCTAAGGTCTCTGGTCCTGAGCCCCAAAACATGCCTGAGAGGGAGCTGTGCTGTCTTTGAGGCAGCACAGGATCAAGCCTTACTGTGCAGCTTCTGGAGCCGGACAGTTATCCTGGTTTGGACACTTACTGGCTGTGTGTCCTTGGGCAAGTCACTTAACCTCTCTGTGCATCAGTTTCTCCATATAACACACGGAGATGATAACAGTTCATCAGGATTCAGTTAATACACATCAAGTACTTAGAATGGCACCGGGCACAGAGTAAGGGTCCGTGAGGCTCTGCAAGGCCATTGGCTGTGGTGCCTCTTACTCTGGGTACCCAGGAGAACTGGCTCCTTCAGGGCCCTGCTGAAATGAGGCCCTGGTGCACAGCCTCCCTCGTACTCTGGCAGCAGGGGGAGGCAGAAGAGCCCCCAGCAGCGGTCCAGAGGTGCAGCCTGTCCGGCCCAGCATCCCCTCTGTCTCACCCTCCAAAGGGTAAGGGCTGGTGCCGGCCGGGGTGGGCTCTGCCTGCCATGCCGAGGCTTGGCTGAGGATGGAGAGCTCTGAGCGCCTGAGCTGCTGTGTGGCTTCAGCCAGGACTTGGAACTTCTCGGGGCTTTGGGGTCCTCCCAAGTCAGCGGGGGTGTGTCTCCCTCAGCAGCAGACTCTGGCCCTGGGCATGGATCAGAGCCGAGTGACGGTCCTGGCTTGAGGTAAGAAGACGTGGGGACAGCAGTCTGGGTGGCGGGGGCCTTCTGGGACAGCCGGGACTCTCCCTAGGTCACTTGGCTGCCCCTACCCCTTGAGGCCAAGAGTCTTTGAGGCGCCTGGCTGCTGGTTTTCATCTGGGGAGCCTCTCCGGGGGAGAGGTCCTGGGCAGGTGCCGGGTGGGGTGGAAGTGGGTGCTGGCCACCTGTGGAAACCCCATTCTCAAGACGAAGGAGACACACAGGGACCCCAAGATGCAATAGCAGGACTGTGCCCCTCAGAGCTCAGTGGGCTGCCAGGCACTGGGCTGGGCCTCCCTGGACCTGCCACTGTCCCCTCCAGCCTCTCTCCTCAAGGCCACCACCCTTCCTCTAGGGTGGTGGGGGAAGTACCTACCCTCAGCACCCCCTCAGGCCCCCCAGCAGCTTCCTCAGAACTCCTTTACCCCCACCCGGCAGCCCCGCAGCCCCAGGAAACCCGAGCTGCCCGGGCCACTGACGAGCAGCCAATCCCAACAGTGGAAGGAAATGTTTATTTTCTTCTCCAGATTGCCCCGGCTGCTGTGTGGTGGCTGAATGAGCCCTTTCAGCTGTGAGAAGCCCCCATTGTGGGCGGCTGCGGCTGGGGGCTGGGGCTGGGGTATGGGAGGGGCTGGGGTCTCTACACTGCTTGCCAGTGACCAAGGTTTGGGGGTCAAGGCAGTTAACAGGCACTGAAAGACGTGGTGGTGGGATGTTCCGAGGGGGATCCCCAGGAGGGAGCCTGAGGGTGGGGGCATCCCTGTGAGAGTGACTTCCCAAGCCTCGGCCTGCCAACACCCGCTCTTTGTCAGGGACCTCCTTCTCCCCACTTCACAGATGAGAAAACTGAGGCTGGGTTTAAGTGACTTGTCTAAGATCACACAGCCAATGCCTGGCAGAGCCTGAGTCCCAGCCTGGTCCACCTGACAGAGTTCACGCTTCTGCCCTGTCCTGGGTGTCCAAGGCCCTTTCTCTCACTCAAAGAGGTTGGGCCTGGGGATGGAGAGGCCTGGCTGACTGTGGCCCAGTGCTGTGGGTGGCTAGTGAGGGACTGGACGAGGCCTCAGGAGGAAGCAGCCAGAGATGCAGAGGTCAGCCACTGCCCCACACAGGCCAGGCCGCTTTCCTCCCAGTCCGGAGTGTAAGCAGCAGCTGTGCCTGCTGTGGGGCTAGGCCTGGCCCTTTGGGGCTGGATGGAGGGGACCACACCTGCCCCAGGCTCCTGCAGGCACTGATTCCCAAGCCGGGCCCACACATCGGTGGATGGGCAGACGGGCTCTCCTTCCATGGGGGCTGGGGGGCAGGAAGCCACTGTTTACCCCACCTCCCGGATTCTGGCTCCCTGGCTAGGCCCTGATCCCCTGGCCGGGCTCTGCAGATGGCAGGGAAAGGCTGGCTCCCAGGCTACCGCACCTTGACAGATGCTGGCCTGTGGGCGGCAGGAACAGGAGCAGCTACAGGGCAGGGGTGGGCGCAAGCACAGCATCCAGGGCTCCTTCTGCCACCTCTTGAGCGCAGACCTCCAACTCATGGGCTCAGGAGCTGAACGTCTCAAATGCACTAGCTCCTGGGCTCAGAGAGGCTGGGCCTGGGGCTTCTTCCGACCTTGGCGTCTCAGGCCAGAAGGGGAGGGGTTCTCTCTTCACACTGAGGGCCTCATCAAGCTCCTGGCCACTGCACTACGCCTGGAACGTCAATAGAGGGACCCAGTCGGACCCCACCTCAGCATGGCAGCCCTGTTCCAGGCCCCTTATCTGTCCCCTAAGAAGTACAGAAAGTGCTTGGGAACACATACTGTGGAGACTCTGGGCCTGGTCACAGATGGGCTGTGTGACCCAAGGGTGGCTCTGAACCTCTTAGGCCTCAATTCATTCGTCTGTCAAGGAGTTCTAACCAGGCTCCGGGAACAGGCACATCCCGTGACAGCAGCCAGCCTGCTTGCCTCTGTCCACCGGGCCACCAAGCACCCTTGGCACCCCGCCTGGCCCAAAGGCCGGCCATGCACACAGCCTCCCACGTCCCCAGCTCACTGACTGAGAGAACAGAGGAGAGATGCAGGCCGCAGTTGTTTAGTGAGCCCCTAGTATACGCCAGGCAGCTTGATATTCCAGAACCTGCCTGAGGCCTGGCTGCGACCACGCCTGCTGTATCCACCTAGACAGTGGAGACAGAGACCCTGCTCGGCCTTCCCTTCCACCTCAGTTCCTCCTGTTTGGGAGGAGGCTCTGGGCAGGGTGGGAGACCTTTCCCAGGAATGCTATGTGCCTCTGTAGGGCTGGAACGTCACTTAACAGTGTGCAAAGTTTGTGTGAGCGCAGTAACGCCACTGAATGCCATCCCAGCCCTGGGCAGAGGCACCAACCACCAATCAATCCACTTTCAGATGAAAAATCGGAGGCCGGGGGCAGGGGTGGGGAAACTACATGGCAGGGACGAGTCTGTCATGGCTCCTTGGACAAGTCATGGCTCAATTCTAATAGGGGCACTATGGAATTAACCCCATTTCCCCAGGCACAGTGAACTGGTACGCAGGGTGCTGTCTGCCCATGCGGATACCTGGGGCTGGGCCCCAGGCATATGTCAGTAATGTCAGTAAGTGTTTGCTGAGTGAATGAATGACGGCTAGCACACAGCAAGCCCTCAGGAACCATCTAAGGTGCAAATGAGTACCAGCAGCTCCTCTATAAAACAAGCAGGTGCAGTGACTAATCTTCTGACGGGCTTTTGGTCTGGGGCAGACTGGACCACATCCAGGCTCTCCACCCCCACCTTACCCTGCTGCAGCCCCTCCCTCAGTGCCATACCTTGGATGGGGGTCTGGGGCTGGCTGCTGAAGTGGCTTGTGGTGCTGAGTGAGCCTCGGGGGCTGGGCGTGCTCGGTGTCACCCGCATGCGCAGCCGTTCCAGGTCCCCAAAGCGGTCAGGGAATGCCTTGGTCTGGTCCTCCAGCTTCTGCCGATGCCCTGCAGAGCACAGGGAGCCCATCAGCTATTGCTTCCCCAGAGTCTTAGTGGAGACAGAAATAACTCACTCTGCTGGGAAGTTCTTCCTGAGGTCTGACCTTAGGCCTCTGCTGGGAGAACCCTGAGGTCACCACCAGCCTCTTTCCAGAGGTTTTCAAAAGACTTACTGACAGAGAATGGTCGCTGTGTGCCGCCCCACATATGTAAACCTCTACACAGATGGTGATCTAAAGCATTACACACACAGTGATCTAAATCTCTACAACACACAGTGATCTAAATCTCTACAACACACGGTGATCTAAACCTCTACACACACGGTGATCTAAACTCTACACGCACGGTGATCTAAACTCTACACGCACGGTGATCTAAACTCTACACGCACGGTGATCTAAACTCTACACGCACAGTGATCTAAACTCTACACGCACGGTGATCTAAACTCTACACGCACGGTGATCTAAACCTCTATAGCACACGGTGATCTAAACTCCACACACACGGTGATCTAAACTCTACACACACTGTTTGGCAGAAGAAGAAACTGAGGGCCGGGTGCAGTGGCTCATGCCTATAATTACAGCACTTTGGGAGAGTCAGGTGGGAGGATCAGTTGAACCCAGGAGATTGACATTAGCAGCCTGGGCAACTATCAAGACCCCTGTCTGTACCAAAACAAACAAACAAAAAACAACAACAAAAAAAACCTTAGGCAGGTGGGGTGGCACAAGGCTATAGTTCCAGCTACTGGGAAGACTGAGACAGGAGGATTACTTGAGCCCAGGAGGTGGAGGCTGCAGTGAGCTATGACTGCACCACTGCATTCTAGTCTGGGCAACAGAACCAGGACCCTAGCTCTAACGAAAGGAAACTGAGGCAACAGACATGAGAAAGTGGCTCATGCCCCCAGGGAGAGAACCAAGGAGTACTGCCACCCTCGGTCACCCAGCATCCCAACCTGCCTTGCACACTCTCTCCCATGTCTACAAGAACAATGGGAGGTGGCCCCAGGATGGGACTGCAGGCTTCTCCAGCCCTAAGTCACTGTGGGATCCCCAGAACATGCCTTCTTCTCTCTGGGCCTCAGGCAGAAGGAAAACTCCACCAGGATGCTGGGCAGAGGTGCAGGGGGCTTACATGAGGGGCTAGACGGCCATCTCTGCCTGTAAGCTGGGGTCAGGGAGCGAGTGTACCTGGCTTGGGACGTCACACCTGGAGAAAACTGTCAGCATTTCCTACTCCCTCTCTGCCAGAGCCTACACAGGAAGGACCTCAAAGGTGCTGGGAGGCTCAAGGTGGCCAGGCGCCCACCCTCCTGCAGCCTGCTGAGGCCAAGAGACACTTCTGAGTGACATCAAGCTTGCAAAGACCTCTCCCCAGCCACCGCCATACACACTTTTGTAATTACTAATTTAACACTTCACAAGCAACATGAGAATATTTACAAAAATCAAAGCATTACAGATAAGGCCCTTTCCACTGCTCTAAGCTCCTCTCCAGCGTTCCCACTGTGACCAATTTCTTTCCAGACATTTTTCGTCTTCCATGAATGGAAAACGCAGAATATGTTTCCTCATGGAACTCTTGTTGAACGGCCTCAGCCTGGGCGTGTCACTCTGTAATTTGCTTTTTCAGTAGTGCACCTTAGAGCTCAAACTCAGTTTCCTCATCTGCAAAATGGGGAGAGTAACCCTAGCCCCACCGAAATGACAGAGTTCCCATAAAACCCTGGGAATCCTCCCTGCCTCGGAGGAGATTCAAGCATGACACGGATGACGTGACACTGCTCTGCCTGCTTCCTGCTGGCCGCCGGAGGCACAGCACAGTTCACCCCACAGGCCCCTCCACCGCACCGGTCCTTTCCAAGCTTCCTCTTTAGTTCCCTTACCTGCAGCACTCCCAGGAACATCCCTGTGCACACTCCCTAGTGGCTGGGGCTTCTCCAGGGCAGACCCAAGGAAAGGGCCGCTCCCTTGGAGGACTGCACCAGGGCTCCACTACAAGGTCACTACACTAACAAGGTTCAAGGTCAGGACCGCGGGCCATTCACCTGACTTGGAGGGAGGCTGCCGGGCAGGCAGGCTGGCCAGGCTCTCTTTTACAAGTAAGAAAACTGCAACTTCGGAGAGGCAAGGAAGCTTGTCGGAGGTCACACGCTGAGGAGGGGGTGGGATTTCCTGGACCTGGGACCCTTTAGGAAAGAAGGTGGGGGCCGGCCGTGGTGGCTCATGCCTGTAATCCCAGCACTTTGGGCAGCCGAGGTGGGCAGATCACCTGAATGAGGTCGGGAGTCTGAAGCCAGCCTGGCCAATCTGGTGAAACCTCATCTCTACTAAAAGCACAAAAATCAGCCGGACGTGGTGGTGGGCCCCTGTAATCCCAGCTACTCAAGAGGTTGAGGCAGGAGAATGCTTGAACTCAGGAGGCAGAGGTTGCAGTGAGCCAAGATCGTGCCACTGCACTCCAGCCTGGGTGACAAAGCAAGACGCCACCTCAAAAAAAAAAAAAAAAAGAAAAAAAAAGGTGGGGAAGGGGCTGAGGGGAGAGAAGGTTTGCCTAAGTCCTTGGGTCTAGAGTGATGTGCATTTTCTAGACTGGCAGAGGGAGAAGAGGCAAGATGTAGGTGGGAGGTAAAACAGAAGTCCCTGTGCGTCCTGGAGCCTGGACTAGTGATTCCCAGGGGACTGGAAAGTGGGAAAAGACTGTCGATCACTGTAGGGCATGAGGGGACAGAGCCTGAGGCCTCGCACGGGCCTGACTGCTGATTTTCAGAATGGGAACACAATGGATTCCGGTACCTGTCGGCCTCCAGGCTCCCTAAGCACCCCTGTTGCAAGCTCAAATGGGCATCTGGGAGCCTCAGAAAGAAAGCAGGTGGCCTGGGAGCCGCAGGGACTCAGCCTGTCACCGAGAACCAGAGAGCTCCACTTTCTCCTCCTATGAGGCCCCAGACCATGGGACACTTAGTGGCAGGAATAAGACCATTTGGTCTCTGGCCACGCCCCCCACTGCTGCCTCCCAGGACCCTTGGCAACAAAGGAGAAAACATGGGCTGGGGGTGAGTTTAGCTGGAGCTGGGGCTGCAAACTCAGATGCCCATGGGGGTGGGGCAAGTCACGTGAACAAGGCAAGTGGGATGGGTGGGGTCTGGGGTGGAGGGAGAGGATGTGCCTTGTGGAAGGCACCTGACTGGTACCCTGAGGAGGGCAGGCCCTGTATGGCCACAGCTTCCGATTCCAGACCCAGTTCTCAGCCCTAACAGGCATTGGAGGAAACGTGCTCCTTGCTGCTGAGGCTGCTGGAAGTGACAGAGAGATGTGGAAGAGCTGGGCGACAAGTGAGCAGAAGAATCTTAACAGGCATGAAGCCTGCCGGAGGGATGTGGGGACCACAGGCTGACCCGACAACAGCCTGGGTGCAAAGGATCTGGGTGTTTTAGCCACAGGCCTGAAGGAAGCCAAGAGGGCTGGTGCAAAACCTCAGGCCTTGTTACTTTCATCACAGGAGAATAAAGTCCCCTGTTTGAGTCACACCGTGTACAAAGTGTTTACAGTGACTCCTGAGGCCTGGCGGAAGAGGGCGGGGTTCACAGCCAGCCTGGGTTCGAGGATGGGTCCTGCCACTTGCAGTCTGGTGGCCTCACTCAAGTCACACTCCCTCCCCCTACCCCGAGCTGCGGTGTCCCCATCACACTGTCTTTGTGGGCTGAGGTGCTGGCCTGAGGTGTGGACACTTTCCGCCCATGTGGGTCACCACCATCATGACCATCACCTTCATCTCTGCTCACGCCCAAGGGAGGCAGAACCGACGTCCCAGTGCTGGAGACGGGGGCGGAGGCCAGTACGGTGAAGTTGTGTATGGAACACAGAGCCGGGACAGCAAAGCGGGATTCACACCCGGATCTCCCAACTCCAAGCCCTGGGCTCTTTTCCTGACACTTTCCCTTTTGTTCTCATCGTTCAGACGGGGCCACTAAGGCTTCACCAGGAGACCCATATTGAGTGGCCGTCTCAGAACCCAGGCTGCAGGTCGGGTAATCCGGCCCCAGAACCCAGGCTCCCACCATGTGCTCCCTTGCCTTTCGTAGGGCAGACTTCCTGGAGGAGGGGAGTTCAACAGCACTTGAGAAATTGCTTCCTTGTTGCTGTGAATGCTGGAGCCACTGCCAGGGAGGGGCAGAGGGGAGCCAAGGCGGCCCCACGTGGCCAGGGCGCCAGAGAGTCTCAGAGCCACAGGGCCGGGCCCTCACACTGGGAACAGGACAGAAGTTCCTGTGCCCGAGGAAAGAAGATGGGCCATAGCAAAGGCCTCTTTCATTCAGATACCCGGAGCAAGAGCTGAGTGGGGAGCTCCAGTCCTAACCCACTCCATCAACTGGGCCCAGTCCTGCTATGCCTCAGTACAGTCCCCTCTGCACAGTCTGCTCACTGAGGCCCCTTCTTTTTGAAAGTCCCTGATTTAAGAAAGCAAGTGAGCAGAAGAATCTTAACAAAGATCAGCCCCTGGTCAGAGGGGCCCCAGAAAGAAAAGAAGGCAGGGCTGCTGGCCCCAGGATCCACTTACTCCCACATCCCAGGATGTCTTGACTATCCTCTGCCCTCCAGACTTCAGAGCCTCAGCTCAGGACAGCCTCTGCAGCAATGCTCTCCTGTCCATCGAAGCCCATCCAGGAGCCCCTCCTCCAGGAAGGCCCCTTTCTCCCACAATGGAGCCCCCATCGCACCTCTGCAGGCTAGGACTGCCCTTAAAAGCGGTCAATTTCCAGGAGTGGAAATCATCAGAACAGCAGCAGGCGCTTCCCGGGCGCTTCCTCCACTGCAGCGTCTAAGCAGACAACATTCACTGTCCTGTTTCACCTTGCAACAACCCCTTGAGTGAGCTCTGCCACCGTCCTATCGTCTGGGTGAGAAACTGAGGCTCTGGACAACCAGTGAGCTCAAGGTCATGCAGAAGACATATGGCCACCTGCTCTCTCCAGAGCCTGTGTTTTGACAGTG